TATAATTTATTGAAGGATTAACAGTGAAATTAATTCTTTGTTATCCAATGAACTCTTGTTTTATAATTTGTCAATTGTAAAACCTAGAAAGGGCCAATATTTTTAAAATCTTTGATTAAACATGTTTCAAAACTCTTCTAATTGATATTTTCAGACCTTGAAAATTAAAGAAGAAGAAAAACACTTTTCAAACAAGACAATCTCTCTAGAGTGGATCTTGGTATTTGACATATGTCTCTCAAACACAAAGCTCGTGTTGAGAATCAGTGTTGAAGCAATAGATGATGAACAATGAGGGAATCTTTAAAGATTCAACACCAAATATTGAGACATCTTTGGAGATTCAACATCGAATATTGGGGCATCTTCGGGGATTTAACATCCTGATGCGAACTATAAGATCTTATGAAGGCATTTCCTCCACTGGTATGAATAAGCAGATTATCACTATCCTTTCATGTTGTATCTCTTAAAGAATATTGTTTAGTTTGAGAAAATTTTCTTTCAAAACAAATTTGTCTCATTTGAGACATAAAAAAATCTTTGAGCTTGTTTCTTTGGAAACAAATTGTCTCTTTTGAGACAACTTCTTTTGAAGCATCATCTCTGAGTCAGTTTCTTTTGAAACCAAAATCACCTATAGATGGGCAAGACTCATGAACAGATGAACAGTTTTATCACCTGACCATATCTCCTCATTATGTATGAATTGTGTCAACTTAGATAACCAGCCGTCCCCAGCAGAGTGGAACTGTGTTATCACCCTTAGATGGCCAAGACTCATGAACAAATGAGCAGTGTCATCACCTGACTAGATCTCCTCGTTATATAGGAGTTGTGTCAACTTAGATAACTAGCCGTCCTCATCAGTGTGGAACCGTGTTATCACCTTTAGATGGCCATGACTCATGAACAGATGAGCAGTGTCATCACCTGACAAGATCTCCTCATTATGTAGGAGTTGTGTCAACTTAAATAACCAGCCATCCCATCAGAGTGGAACATTGTTATAACCTTTATATGGCCAAGACTCATGAACAGATGAGCAATATCATCCCCTGACTATATATCCTCATTATGTAGGAGTCTTGTCACCCTTAGACGACCCAAACTCTTCATCACGTATGAGCAGTGTCGTCTCCCAAATCAAACACTATCAAGTTTCCTAAAACAAAAAAAAAATCAGACAAAAATTGGTTGTCTTTTTCGTCTTTTCCCTATTCTTGTTAATATAAGAATGTGCAAATAGGGGTAGCTGTAGACACCCGTTTTTTTCCGAGCCAAAAATATTAAATATTAAATATTCTTATTATTATTAATTAGTTTTATTACATGTGATTGCAGGCCAATCCAAGTTTAACAAATGAGGCCCAAAACAAATACAACCTAGAAGCTCAAAGCAATACTCAGCCCACTCAATAATTAACTCGACCAGAAGACTCAGTTACATCATACCCAGATCCATATCGTCCTAGTGACCTGACCTAATGCAATTAGGGTTTTTAACCATAAATTTACTCAACCACCGTAACAGAGGATTCAACTCTTTAGCTCCCAAACCGGCACCTGAGTCACTGTTTCGACTCCCAGACATGAGCCGAGCCACAGACGAGACAACGTCGAGCCACCATCGTCGAGCCAATCTGCACAAATCCATCGAATCATCATCAAAGTCAAAAATCAAAAATAAATCTTACCTAAACCCCAAAAAATATGGGATTTCTACCTACCGAATCAATCATTCAGCATCCAAAAATCATGCATGCAAAGACAAAACAGATAGAGATTAAAAGAATAAAGGCATTCGAAATAGAAGAAAAAAAATGCAACCAAAAGGGGATTTCAAAGAACACAGGAGACTCGAGAGAGAAAAAAATAAAAAAAGAAAATTCAGAGAAAAATATTTGGGTTTGGGAAATCGAAATAAAAAGAAATAAAAAGGGAAAGATACCTAGGTTCGAAGAGTAGGGAAGCCGAAGAGGTCACTGGTTTTCCAATTTTTCGAAAGATAAACCCTTTAGATCTAGGGTGTTAAGGAAGTTTTTAGGCCGAGGTGAGGGTTTTTTTGGGTTGAGAGATGAGAGAAGGGTATTCGAGGAGTTTTTACTTCCTCTGGTCGCCTAACGCTATTGTGCACCACCACGAGAACCGTCGTGGTTGTCCTCGGCAGCGGCAAGCTTTAATTCCCCGATGAGGGGAATTTTTAGAGAAATATTTTTCTTTCTCTCTCTATCTCAGGCAGAAGAAAAGGAAAATGAGAATGAAATGAGGAAGAAGCCTTGTTTTTGGGCTTATATACGCCAACTAAAACGGCGTCGTTTTGTCCAGGGGATTTCATCGTAATTTTAAATGTGGGTAAATTATATTACAAGGGTCTCCGTGTTTCGTAATTTTTTAGTATGGGCACTGGATGTATTTTATTTATTTTTTATTTCATACCCAATATTTCTAATGTTTCTATCTTGGTCACTGGGTTATTTATTATTACTATTTTGTAAATTTAAAGAAAAACCAATTTTATCTACATAACGTTTCTATTTCAACATGAAATCCCACAAGTCCACCTAAGAACAACTACAACACTATTTTCCTTGTGCGTCATTATTTTGTGGCCTTCATACCCTATCAAACTTTGAAATTGAATACAACATCATGCGTTTAATGTTTGATTTAATGTGGGGCAATCACTTTCTTATAGTAAAACAAAAAAAAAAGTAAAGAGAAAGGAATGCATTTTTAATCACATCACCTTTAACTTAACCTTGCATCAATCATATGTAAATATTTTATTTTAGTTATTATTTGAGCATTTGTTTTAATTATTGTTTAATCCTTTATATTTATGTTCATTTCATTTTAATCCTTAAATGTTGTTTATGGGTATTTGCATTTCTAGTACTTCTAGTTGTTTAAAAAGATTATTGAGGTTCTGACTTGTTTATGTATGTTGTTTGGTATTTTAAATTTTCTGTTAGTACCATTTTAGTCCCCAAAATTACATAATGTATTTATTTACTTATTTTTGTTATCTGTAATTGGATATATATCATTTTCTTGTTAATGATTGAATCCTTTATTAGACGTATTTATTTTACATATTTCGTAATTATATCTAAATATGAAAATTTCATTATAAGGGAAATCTACGAAGACATCTCCCAACTACAAGGGAATGTGTCTTTACGAGGATTTTTTCACATAAATGTTTTTGTTGGATTCAATAATTTTCTTTGTTTTACGTTTATTTATTTTAATTATTTTTCACTTTTATTTTGTTTATTTTACTTTTGTGAAATTTGCGAAATAATATTTGTTGTGAGAGAAATCTATTGGAAAGTCTTCTAACTATAAAGGAGGTGTGTTCCCGAAGAGTGTTCACACTTTTTAAATAAATTTAAATGAATAAAATGATCGTAATTTAAATAAATTTTTGAGGTTATAATTCTGAATATTTTAACAACGTATAATCGTTTAGGTACCAATTTTGGGCGTTATGGGGGTATTAATCCTTCCCCACGCATAATCGACTTCTGAATCCATTTAATCGAATCTTTTGTGATGCATACCAGATTTTTGTCTAAAAATGATTTTTCTTAATTTTTTTATAAATACGTTTTAGGTATTCAACCTACCTAACCCAAAAGGTCGTGGCGACTCTATCCAATTTAATTCAAAATCACCAATTTTTCCGAAATTAAAATCATAACTGTTTTTAAAACAAATAAATAATTGTTCACCTAAAAATGGTTATGACAGTTATTAGATAATTCCTGGTCCAATCCAACTACATGAGCACATTGCCCCAAATCCTGAGACAACATAACAATTTGAGATGAAAAATAAAATAAAATAAGATAAAATAAAACAAAACAAAACAAAACTTTTATTAATACCAAAAAAGTACATAATAAAGTAAAGAACCCAATTATTAATAGAATATGAAGTTGAAACTAGTTGAGGCCTACACCTACACAGTTTCCTTAAGACAGATTTTTGGTCACTCCTTAGTGCTACATATATTAACTCTAGATATAATTTAGTAACATACAACAAATTGTACATCTTTGCTCATTTCAATCCTAGGGTGTGACCCTTTATGTTCTTGTAACGTTAGTAGTAATTATTAGAACAATTATAATATTATATACAATGAGTGACATCGAGAAATATATTATTGTCACCAAAGTTACAAGAAATTATGATTCGACATATCATCTTGGTGATTAACTCTTTTTTTATTACATCCTTTTGTCTTTTGCATCAAGAATAGACACAAGTATTGGAATAGTCATACTTGTATACCCCATCTATTGTTTATTGATATTTAGAGTTGACTATAATTAATGAATAATTTGTTGTATCTTATATCAACTTATTCAAGCATGACCATCTATTTCAAGTCTCACTCAATCAAGTGGCCTGTGATATATTTCCTATTATGTAGGAAGGATAAATCCTATCTTAATCATACACACTCCACTACATATATCGAGATATGTTCAATAACAGTTTCTATAGTGCAACTAGTTACAAAGCATGCTTAAATATATCAAAACATACAACAGTTTATTTCGAGATAACATTGATATCAAGTCTGAGGATCATACATATAATCATCACCATGAGCAATGTTATGACCGTTACATAATAATCCAAGACATATGCTCATGGTGGGTCAATCCAATACATTGTTCTCTAACAATATAATCATATGTCAATTATGGCATCTCTATGTCAATGATAACTCGTTGTCATCTATCAATAACATGTTAGTCTTAAGTGTATTATTATTGTCCATGCCCATAATAATACTTGACTATGAAACTTTTAATAATAATAATGTTATTATATGGACTTTATTATCTTTCAGTTTTTGTTAAACACAAACATATAACTGATAATAATAGTGGCAATGCCTTTATTCAATAAAATCGGTAAATAAATGTATTATTACAATCATCATATGATTGGTCTTTGGGTATACTCTAACAATAGATTGATCAGATTATCGGAGGAGGGAGCAGCCATTTGGTGGCAGCAACGTAGTCAAGCAACAGGAATGGTTCGGCTTCCTTTTCGGTTAGCTGCTTGGTGAATGGCTCCCGCCCACTGGAAGATGCGCCTACCCCAGTGCACTTGTATTCTCCATAGTAAACAGTTCTAAAAAAATAATTATCATTATCATAATTAATCAATAAGATTGGTGTGTGCTATCAACATTGACCATCAACTTAATTGGTTCTTTCTGGTTGCATTTCATGACACCAGCCGCCAGGATTCACAACGTCGGTCATTTCAGTATAAGCATAAACAACTCTCGGACTGTATCCTGAAAACCGAATATGATGCAGCCATAAAATGCCGATCTGTCACCGGATACTCTCAAGGCAACCGCTTGTGCTCCTTCCCTTTTCCCGTCAGGCTTCGGAGCATTGTTCTATGTATAATTGTTAACAAAGTATTGAAAGTTAACAATGTATTCAATTCAAGGAAGAACATGTAGTTAAGAATTTATAAGTGGAGAAAATAAATAAAATGATAACAATATGTATAATACGTGTAAAAGATGAGATTTAATGATGTTCAATTATTTTTATTTCTACAGGTGAAAAGAATAATAATCTATTTCAAACGTATAGATCATCATGCTCATCAAGAAATATGTTCTAGGATATGTACATATGTATTAATAATAGAAATTTTTGTATGGAAGGATACAAATAAAATTCAGATTAGGCACCATCAATAAAATAAACAATTAATCTAAAGAAATTTAAATTTCAATGTCTACCCTAGATAACATATACATGCAACCACAAGATAAGGATTCATATACATAATATCTCATGTATACTAAAGTTTGATATTTACTTTAAAATTTAAAATATCTGAAAATAATATCTTACTACCTCTATAAAAGTAAAATATCAATTATAATTTGAGTTAAAATATAAGCATACGTGTTGGTTAAATTCTGGAGCTTACTATTATGTTGAGATAAGCACCCACAAAGTAATTAGACAAGGTAGTGAGAGTGCCGTTGTCTACAGTTCCGTAGTCCTTGGCGGTGGCATCAAATGTCAAATTGGGCATGTTTTTGGGGTCTCCCATCAGTGTAACGTAAGGCTTGTCTAGAGGGATCGTGATTTTCTCTTGGTAAGACCCGGGTCCGATAGATATTATAATGCGTTTGTTGTTCCCGGCAGGAACGCTTTTGATGGCTTTCATTATGGTAGTGAAATCTCCACCGTCACCTTGCTTAACCTTTATGATTTTAGGTTCAGCCTCGGCCTCAACCAATTCTGGGTCTAAAGTGCCAGCCCTTTGATTGAGAGGCTTGATAACGCTACTGAAACAATCATTTACCTTGGATTTCTCTTCTGGTATCTGTGTACTCTGAGACTGAACGATCGGAACAAAAAAAATAACCATGCAGATTACTGCATAAACTCCACCGTTTTCGATACTTTTTTTCCTGTCATTTTTATTTTTTATTGTTGATATTATGTCTATTTTTTCGGTGACTCTAATTTAAAAGATAAATTCGTGAAGAAAAAACTGTAAACATGAGATTTTGAGTGATCCTCGCTCCGCCTATCATTTTTCATGGTTCTTGCATGCACCATTAAGCTTGTTGCGTAATTCAAGTGAATACTTTAAGATGGTCTCACTAGTGACTTGACACACGGCATTAAAACTTCTGCAATGTTAAAAATATATTATTATATCATTTTGTAATTTATATTAGAATTAATATTCTTTTATAAAATAGAAAAATTAATTTTAATTATACTTTAACTTATATAATATTTTTATTAAAATTATAATAATAATGTATAATCTTATGATTAAATAGTATACTCTCCTTAAGAATTTTAGGTTCAAATCACATCATAATATATAGTTTTCATTAAATTATATCTTGTGTTATTATCTTATCGAAAGATACTAACTTACTAGGAAAAATACACATAATTACAAAAATATATTAGATGACGATAATAACCTTAATTAAAGTAATATTAAAATTTAATGACTCCAATATAATTTAACTAAAGTAAAAGTATCTTAAATTTAGAGACTATTGTGTGTCTCGTTCATTAATTATTGGGGTAAACTATTGAATTAATCAATTTTCTTTTATGTTTGTATACTATTGTTCATCAAATTCAAAAAATTTATGTTTTAATCACATACATTATCAATTTATTTACTTTTGGTCATTTATATCAAGGAACATTTTTATTGTTTATAATAATAAACGTGACTAACTTGTAACATTTGAATTTCTTTTAGGGTTTAACAATTGAATAATTCTTTAATTTTTAAGGATGACAATATTTCATTATTTCGATTAAAACATAAGAAATAACCACCTTAATTTTGATTAGGGGTTTAGTTTCTTCTTTAATTGGAAATAACAAATATTGGTCGTCTCTATAAAATTTTAAATATTTTAGTGAATAAAAGGATCATTAATTAAATAAATATTTGAATTTTTTAATTTTCAATATAGGGACAAATTTATAATTGGAGGTATCAATTCTGGGGTGCTAATCCTTCCACAATCGTAATCGACTCCCGAAACCCAAAATCTCTGAATCGCTTACCAAATCCTGTCATTTTAAATTTTTATTTAAAAGGGCGTATCAGGGGTTTTCAACCTACTTAGTCCGAAAGGTTGATGATGACTCCAAACATTTCAAATCTTTTCTACAAATTTGATTTTTGAAATTTATTCCGATTTTCGCCACTTCGAAAAAGTCCTCGTGACAAAATTTTACGTTGAACTATTCCATAGTACTTGTGTATACATTTAAAAGCAATTTTCTTTTTCCCACCTGCTGACTTGCATACATTGTAGTGAACACAACCTAATTTCTGTTCTCTTTACTTTTACAATGACCATGAACATATTGGATTGAGATTTGTAGAAATTCCATATCCATATCCTCCCCAAAGGATCCAAATACCACCACTGAAAACCTATGCTTCTACTCTAAACGAGTTGGCAAAACCCAATTTCTTGATGACTTCATTTGCTCCTCTTTTACTAACTCAAGTTTTTGCTAGTTCTATTATATGAGGCTTATTCCTACGGACCACTTTTTAAAAAATTCTTTTGAATGAGGAGCTAGCCACCCTTGGCAATTTTAAAATAATATCCTATCCATGACAATAAAGTGATCAACTTACTACATACCTACACTGTAAAGCCTACAGGCTTGTTCAATCTTGCACAACGACATCGACCATGTCATTTAATACGACCTAATCATCATTCTTATCAAGCCTAGGTTCCCCATCACCCAAGCCTTCTTCAATCTTTCAAGTGCGTTGTCCCCAGTACCTACTCTGCCACTACTCGGGGTTAGTAAGGCATCTAGTTGCTTGGACACCGACTCTACCTATTAGATGTTTTAGGTTTATCTGGAGCTCTCAACTCATATTGTTTTCTTTCCCTCATTCATCTCTTGGTAACTTTTTTGTTTATTATTATGGAGCCACCAACTTCTACATTTCTTCTTCCTTTATACCCTTCGAGACTCGTCCTTTTTCTAGTATAGTGATCGCAGCATGCTTACCCTCCCCATGGTTGATTTATGTATGACTACCTCAGGGGATTGCTCCTTAATAATTGACACGACCGTAACTATCTCAATTAATGATTCTCATACTTTTGTTCCATGCGCAAGTACTTTAGATTTTGGTGCCACTTGAGCCCTGCTACTATCTTGGACTTTACTGCTAACCGCCATCCCCTCAACAATTGGCACAACCTGAACTTTTTCCACTATTGATCCTCCTTCTTTCTTTCCTAACGTAGTTAATTTAGACTCTTGGCTACTTGTAGCCCATTCCTAACTTGATCCTTGCCACTATCCCCATGTAACACTATTTATTTCCCATTATCCCACTGATCATTCCCCTCGCTGATTACCCCATCGGCCTCATGTTGTTGCTTACCGACATCATCTACCCTCTCCTCTTTTTGTAAAATAGTAAACCTATAGCCTCTATTTGTCTCACTCTTATTGTTTCGTGTACTACTATTGCTTATCTCTTTTATCGGTCGACGTCTCCTAGGTTCAAGTACTATCCATGGACCATATACCGCGTCCCTCGGATGATTATCTCTGTGATAGTTTACATGGTTCAATTATCGAGTCCCTTCTCGACTCAGACATTCTTATGAATGATATCCCTATTGATTTTCCACTCCACAATGTTCCTTAGTATGGCCATAAACTCTAGAACTAAAACATATTAGCTGTAATCCCTTATATTCCAACTCCTTAATAAAGCCATTGATTCCTATGCACGAAAGCAATTGTTTGTTAAGGTCTACCATAACAGATAGCCTTGCAAATATGCCCCATTCACCCTTACTCGTATTATAATCCACTTTCACTACACCCCATATAGTTGATACAATCATACTAAACAAATTTCTCGTGTTATAAGGGCGGTCTCGACAGCCTTATCCATACCATTACATGTGAAGGATTCTTTTTCGTGGTAGAGAACAATCGATTCCATGGTTGTACCACAAGGTAGATACCATAAATCGTCTAAGGTCCTTCCGCTAGCACTTTCAAGTAATCTTCTATGCATTCAAACTTGACAATAAAGTAACTATTTTCTAGGTCTACTAGTTGAAACCTCCCTTGCAGTTACCAAAGGGATTGAATTCTCAATTCTAAGGCATTGAACCTAATCACCTTACCAAGAAGTCTTACTATCGCCGACTTTTGTATGCTCTTATCAATTAAGCTATGGACCCGCTCTGAAGAACTAATAGTAGGAAAATCCCATGTCCTATCTATGACACAGCCTTCATCGGTTAGTTCAAACTCTTATTCTTCTGCTAACATACATGAATAGCCTCTTTCCTTGGAAGACCCAATAACCATATCGGCATAAGAACTCCTTCCTTTTTCTGATCGCTTTTTGTGTTTTGGTGAATCTTCCTTTTCTTTAGCCAGTTCTTGATCTACGATAGGTTCTTCCATGCATGTCTTCCCCCTTCTCATAGACATTTTTTCCCTGTTGCTTACTCCCTTTTACTCCATGCATACTCGTCTCGTCGTCCATTATAACCCTATGGTTATTAGATAATTACTGGTCCAATCCAACTACATGAGCACCTTGCCCCAAATCCTGCTACAACAGATGAAAAACAAAATAAAACAAAACTTTTATTAATATCGAAAAAGTACAGAATAAAGTAAAGAACCCAATTATTAATAGAATATGAAGTTGAGACTAGTTGAGGCCTACACCTACACAGTTTCCTTAAGATAGATTTTTGGTCACTCCTTAATGCTACACATATTAACTCTAGATAGATTTTAGTAACACAAACAAATTGTACATCTTTGCTCTTTTCAATCCTAGAGTATGACCCTGTATGTTCTTGTAACTTTAGTATTAATTATTATAACAATTCTAATATTATATACAATGAGTGACATCTAACAATATATCATTGTCACTTAAGTTACAAGAAATTATGATTCGACATATCATCTTCGTGATTAACTCTTTTATGTATTACATCCTTTTTCTTTTATATCTAGAATAGACATAAGTGTTGGAATAGTCACACTGGTATAACCCATCTATTGTTTCTTGATATCTAGAGTAGACTATAATTAACGAAACAAATTTTGTATCTCATATCAACTTATTTGAGCATGACCATCCATTTCTAGTATCACTCAATCAAGTGGCCTGTGATATATTTCATACTATGTAGGAAGGACAATTCCTATCTTAATCATACACACTCCACTACATATATCAAGATAAGTTCAATAACAGTCTTTATGTGTTATGATCAACAGCTGGGCATGTTGTGCCAATGTTTTTCGGCCCGGTCTCTTGTGCAAATTCTGATTTTACTGAACTGTTAGCTATCAAAACAACCTTAGAGATTTTTAGTAAGACTAGCTGGTGTGAGGAAATTGAACTGATTATAGAATCTGATTCGAAAGTAGCATTGAACTGGTTATTTGAAGAGATTTATTGAAGATTAGTGACTGTAGGGAAGGTACAACTAGTGTACACTCCTAAGATGTGCTATAACTTGGCAGATCAACTCGCGGATATAGGATTTAGCAGACAAGAAATGTTTAAAGTATGTTGGTAAGATTATATTGGTCTATGTCTGTACGCTCCTCTATATTCTGTTTAGCGATTTTTTAATTGATTTTTGGGTTGTTCGATAGCATGTTGTTATTGCAAGATGCTCTCTGTCATCAGTTTCTTGTAGTTTTGGTTGTCTGTTGTTGCTAAGTAAGGTTATGCTATTGAAGTTACTATCTAGTCTTGGCGAAATGAGAGATCATGTATGTTTTTTCTGGACTGGTTGTTTGTACATCAACCTTGGAGTACTCTTTTCCCCTATTTAGGCCTATAGGGGTTTTCAATGACGCTTCGGTTGGGATGATTTTAAAAATCGGCAATAAAAATTCATGTTATTGAGAAAAAAAATAGTCTTTATAGTGCAACCAGTTACGAAGCGTGTTTTATTGTATCAAAACGTACAACAATTTATATCGAGATAACATTGATCTCAAGTCTGAGGGACATACATATAATCATCACAATGAGCAATGTTATGACCGTTACATAATAATCCAAGACATATGTACATGGTGGGTTAATCCAATATATTGTTCTCTAACAATATAATCATATGTCAATTATGACATCTCTATGTCAATGATAACTTGTTGTCATCTATCAATAACATATTAGTCTTAAGCGTATTATTATTGTCCATGCCCATAATAATACTTGACTATGGAACTTTTAATAATAATAATGTTATTAAATGGACTTTATTATCTTTCAGTTTTTGTTAAACACAGACATATAACTGATAATAATAGTGGCAATGTCTTTATTCAATAAAATCGGTAAATAAATGTATTATTACAATCATCATATGATTGATCTTTGTGTATACTCTAACAATAGATTGATCAGATCATCGGAGGAGGGAGCAGCCATTTGGTGGCAGCAACGTAGTCAAGCGACAGGAATGGTTCGGCTTCCTTTTCGGTTAGCTGCTTGGTGAATGGCTCCCGCCCACTGGAAGATGCGCCTACCCCAGTGCACTTGTATTCTCCATAGTAAACAGTTCTAAAAAAATAATTATCATTATCATAATTAATCAATAAGATTGGTCTGTGCTATCAACATTGACCATCAACTTACTTGGTTCTTTCTGGTTGCATTTCATGAGACCAGCCGGCAGGATTCACAACGTCGGTCATTTCAGTATAAGCATAAACAACTCTCGGACTGCTCTTCCATGCCCTCCCCAAAAATGAACCCTTTTCCGTTCCGGTGATTTTTCCGTGCACAATGGAGTACCCGGTGTCCTCCGATGAACTCTCTCTAGCTTGTGCCGTGATTACTGTAAGTTTCGGTTCTATTTCTACAAATATTTCCGTGTCCTGCATCCCACTTTTCCAATCAAATTCTGGCATATATATATCTATATATATATCGTATTTCATGTGTTTTTTTAAATGTATACCAGATATAAAGATTTCCCACTACCAAAAATGAAATCAACGGTGCCTCGAATATAGCAATCCTTGAAGAAGTGGTTCCCCCTGTCATCGCACACTGTATCCTGAAAACCGAATATGTTGCAGCCATAAAATGCCGATCTGTCACCGGATACTCTCAAGGCAACCGCTTGTGCTCCTTCCCTTTTCCCGTCAGGCTTCGGAGCATTGTTCTATGTATAATTGTTAACAAAGTATTGAAAGTTAACAATGTATTCAATTCAAGGAAGAACATGTAGTTAAGAATTTATAAGTGGAGAAAATAAATAAAATGATATCAATATGAATAATACGTGTAAAAGATGAGATTTAACGATGTTCAATTATTTTTATTTCTACAGGTGAAAAGAATAATAATCCATTTCAAACGTATATATCATCATGCTCATCAAGAAATATGTTCTAGGATATGTAGATTTGTATTAATAATAGAAATTTTTGTATGGAAGGATACAAATAAAATTCAGATTAGGCCCCATCAATAAAATAAACAATTAATCTAAAGAAATTTAGATTTCATTGTCTACCCTAGATAACATATACATGCAACCACAGGCTAAGGATACATATACATAATATCTCATGTACACTAAAGTTTGATATTTATTTTAAAATTTAAAATATCTCAAAATATTCTATTACTACCTCTATAAAAGTTAAATATCAATTATAATTAGAGTTAAAATATAAGCATACGTGCTGGTTAAATTATGGAGCTTACTATTATGTTGAGATAAGCACCCACAAAGTAACTAGACAAGGTAGGAAGAGTGCCGCTGTCTACAGTTCCGTAGTCCTTGGCGGTGGCATCAAATGTTGACAACTGTCGTTTTGGATGTCAAAATAATTCCTTATTCTCAATCAATAAATTAAGGAAATGCGTAGCAAGGAGAAGTAAGGGTCGATTCCATAGGGACTTAGAAAATTATAAATTTCTGTCTGAATTATTTATGCCAGGCGTGAAACAGTAAAAATGGAGGGATTTTAGTAAAAGATAATAAAGTGATTAAATAAAAGTAATTAAAGTAAAAATAAGAAGATGAAGATTGTGAATAAATACGGTAAAAGTAGCCTCAAGCTTCGCTTTGATTCAATTTCCTTTAGATCATCGAATAAGATTTTCTCTTCGGGATTCACGTCGGTTACTTTGTCTACAAGGGCTATCCTTGTGACTC